AGCCTTGGGAAGGCAATAATTACTCTTGGAGTAAGCGGATTACGATCCGCTAACTCATCCTTGGTTATTTAAAGAACGAAAGGTCGGTGACCTAATGTACGCCCCCTCAAGCGCTAAGCTACGGCAGCCCCGCTGCACGTGGTAGCACTTGTAGTCCATCTATACCTGAGTCATTGAGACTGCTCCTCTGTGAGGATAAAACAATTTTCCTCTTTACCTTAGGGCATGCAGAACGGGCTTAAAAGATGATGTCCTTGCTTGGCCCTGAGGGCGTGCAACATCTTGCTGCGCGAGGCCCCGAGGCAATCGGTGCGCGTAGAGGCGTTTTCTAATTATGAAAACGCGCTGCTAGAGCACCTGCAGCAGAAGTTGTCTGCTTCATTTGCGTCCATGATGCCACCGCCAGTAACGTATGGCGCACCTGTACATAGGTGTAGATTTCACAAGTTGGTGTTATCACACAACGTGTGACTACACTATAACAACAAGCCCCCACGCGGCAGGATTACCAGTAGTGATGCATATAACTATATTAGATAGATTTTATTATATTAATAAGGTATCACCTAGAGCTTTAGATATTGGCGTCTCTGCCGCACCTAAACAATTAAATACAATTTCAATCTTGAACGAAAAGAGCGTTTTTACCTTGATTAAAGTCTTAAGTACTTGTTGGTAGTGGATTGCGATCCACTACACTCGTACTGATTTTTGTAAAGAACGTAAGTAAGGTGACCTTAGCTTAGCTTCTTCGAAGCAAAGAGATAAGTCAGCCCTGCTGCACCCCTGGCTCATCGAGTAGCGCTGTTGCAGGTCGTTCCTTGCTCGGCTGGCATTCGTGCGCACTCTTTTTTATGGTGACACATCGGCTCTTCCCAATAGCAAGGCTTACCACGTATCGGAAACGCTGTCAGGGCTAGGTCAACATACGGAGCTGTGTGAGGCGTCATAAACAGTGTGAAGTCGTATTGTTGCCATGGAGCGGATAGTAGATCAGATACGGAGGATAAGTTAGACTCGTTCCATTTTTACGCTTAACACCAGAGAGGCTTGCTATAGCAAATCGTAATATGCTTTCAACAAGCCCACGTGAAGCTTAAGGCGAGTTTGGAACCTCCTTGAAGTATGAGTGTGGAACTAATCATATTTTGGCTTCGATCGTAAGCGGTCCGATGGAGGGTAGCTGTACTTTGTCTTGTAGACTGCAAGCAGGTAAGTTTAAAGCATTCAGTGAAACCTTTTCACTCATTATGTTTACGTCTGTATCCCGTTTGCCTCTAACATCTGCATTTTTTCACATCCACCTTTTCATAAAATCGCTCACTCGGCGCTTGGCTCAGTCACTTCAAAATAAATTTTAGAGTTTTGCAAAGTAGAGTAGCCGGACAGATGCCGGCAAGTCAAATCAAATTAAATGCCCCCCACCGGGACCGACACAACATCGTTGCAGTGTCGACGGAACGAATAAAGTAACTACAGCAATTAATATTAAATGTCTTGGAAAGGCGTGTACTGCAAATATTATAACAAACTCAATGGGTGGTGTCAGCTCGCTTCTGCATTGCGGTCGCTCCGCGCCAGTGCTTCAATCGGTATTTTTTATGACGCATTTACCGAGTTCTATCCGTCTATCTGGTCTGAACGGAAATATCCAATGTGGTACCCAGCACTTTGAGAAATTTTTGCCAAAGTGTTGCTGTAAAGCGCAGAGATGTAGCCTACGCAATGGCGATCGGCAGGTCACCATTCTCATCGGTAAGGTATCGCTGACAGGAACAAGATGATCCATCTTACGCAGACAACTCACAAAGATTGTAATGCCATTAATTATGAATTTGTCTTTTGTCTGAGCAAACATAAAGCTTTTACTTATGGACTGTCAATACTCTAAAAGAACTGGCAAGCTGGCCAAAGGCGCCGACGTATGCAGCAAGGATTTATCCCGCTGAGATTTTTTGCCTGTGCGTACGCACGCGTTTATTTACTAATAGATGTTGAGCCATTGGTATAAAAAGTTTTTGAATTCTGAGGCGGCCACTCAATGCAGTGTCACGTGCTTCATTTCATGTATATTAATTTAGGGCCTTGTCATGAGGTCTCACCGCTGGCTGGGTGCCGAATGAATTTGGTCTGTAATACAGACAGCTTTGGAACAAAGAATTGAGCTCATTGAAAAACTTACGTCTAAGATCATATACTCCTTGTTAATTAAAGACTTTGGTTGCGCAACACATCTTGCATATGATTCGTACGTTGTGCGTATCAGGTTATCGATGAGTGGCGTGACAATCGTGACATGCGACAGCTCATCATGGGTATGGTGTGTACATCGACCACCGCAAAATGCCGACCCTGCTAGCTTGTAAGCTCAAGTTGTATCAAAGAAGAACAAGATTCACCATTCGACATAAAAAAACTCAGTGACGACGTCGATATGCAACTCAATTACTACGATACATTCATACCCATCAGCATCTGCTTGGAATCAAGACCAACCTCTGATGAAGGCTTGTGTGTTCTTTTTGGATTGGAAAATACTAGGTCGAGGCTTACTTATACAGCCTTAAAGGCCGACGCTTCAACCGCGCCCCAGCATGATTTGAAATCCGTATCAAAGCGATTAGTTAGGGGAAGTTATGCTGGCATAGTTTGCGCTTCATATTTATATATATTCTGCCACTTCCTTATACCCTTTGAGACAGAGGCACTTGTTAAACTGTGGTGGTTTTTATATATGCGAGATCTACCCGCGCGCCGTGATTCTAAGAACATCATGGCACCAAATTCACGCTTACCTGTATTAGCAAACAGGACCTATCTAATCTCCATGATCTCCCTGATCTCCACAACTATGACCGGTTCTAGTGTTGAAAAAGGTTTGTCCGTAGGCAATACGTGACCCGTACTACTCCAGAGCTTTCTACTCAAAGCTATTTCCGCATTAAACGTTTTTCATTATCTCTCATGGCCGGTTAACAACAGTTCTTCAACAAGGTTATGACTGATAACGATCTTCTGTTTATATCTTGAAAGGTTCTCGCACCGAAATAGAGTTGTCAGTTAGCCCCGATAAAAGAGCGAATTACTCAATGTCTCTTGTCATTAGCCGTTCTACCGTATAAAGTCGGTGTTGCTTTCGTTCTTTGCACGGATGTAGTATTTATGACGGCACGAACTTATCCAATGTGGTGCATCATTTACTTCCATAAATCATAGAACACACACCATCCAGCAGCTTTATTTTCAAGTCACCACGTCTTGAACTCCATTACCAACTGTTAAATGAATTTGTGGACTTCTTTATGGTAGCCGTCCCGCTCCTCGCACTCAGGGCTATTTAAGTGTACTCAAGGACGGACTCATTCAGTACTAACTGTGCACTTTCGGTGACGTTACAATCTTGTAATTCTTGCGAACGTCCAAAAAAGTTTCATCGAATTATATTAGAAATTCTGCAGGACATAATGGGGGAAAGTTCCAAGACTGTGCATATCGCAGTTTCACTTTTCACGAGGAGCAATCTTTCTCGTTAAATTTGTGAAACTTCAATGTTTCCCTGATTGAGCGTGTCAAACGGCAGCGCTACAGTTATATTGTGACAAGGATGGACAATCTCAGTTAAACGATGAGTTTAATATAACCAACAATGACTAGCAGTAGTGCCTCTCCTTTGATGACGCGAAACCAATATTTATATTTTCCGCCAGCTCTAGTGCATGGGACTCCAACTTACAGCTGTGAGTAAACGGGTACTACGACATATTGCTTTTCAATCCAGTCTCAGCAAATATACACTTTGGAAAGCAGACTATATGATCCCAATTTTCAATCTGATTACATGACCACGGCTCTTTGCCGGTACTGCGTTCGTGTTCTACCCCAGGCACCCAGCAACTTTGTTGTTCATCACGTCAAACAATGCCATGATCTGCATCAAAGCTATGCACCTCCATCCCTCGCCACAACCTCTTCTGCTTCATATAAGAGGTGATTTTTATGACCACCCCTGACTTACCAGGAGAAAAGGCCGTGGTACCTAACACCAGTCGAGCTATAATTTATGTCATTCCAGCCGCGATGTCAAAGGCGTCGAATTCCACAAAAATACTCTAATGTTCTTTGACACTCTACACTGGCACGGTTATCGAATCCGTAATAGACATCTTCAATACTTTTCTTGTCTACAGGAGAATGCGTGTTGCTGCAGTAGCGATCAGAAATTTCAAAACTTGGACACAGTATCGCCTCCTGCATGAATAGACCAGTGTTTTGTGTGCTCACAGTACACCAGATTATGCGGTGCGGACAGCCGCGACATCTCTCATTTCAATTCTACCCATGTCATATATGCCTTACCCACAAGACCATCGGTCAAAATTGTTTTTTTAGCGCGAAGCGTTGTTGCCCCTTACGGAACATGGTTGATAACTTGGCCATCTCAAATTTTTTGTTGTGAGGCCGGCAAAAATTCTTTGCTCGGGCACTTGCAATGCTGACGCTTAACACCAGCAGCCTTACAGCAGATTCTATCTGTTCTTATCCCGGCGTTCAAGTAGAGCGCTCTTGAATGTAATCAACCAGCCATTTGCATAGCTGGTGAAGACAGAGCAACTACCGCACTTTGACTTCTGGCTACTAGTTCCCGAACTTGTTCGGACTAATGATAGACATAAGCTTGTTTTGTTGGTCTACTAGTCCTGGGGGTAACCGATTTATGTTACATCCTCGCAGAGAATACAGTCCTTTCACGACTTGGTTGTGGGATAGACTACAGGTTCTTCCAAGTGCAACGGGGTTGCCGTGCACCTTGCACAGAGAGAGCATCGACTCAATGTGCCCACGATATCAAATGTACAGAGAATGGGTTCGTACGTTTTGCCTAGAACCAGTATCGCTTGGCAAAAAGATACCCAGTTCGCCTCCCTATTTCATTAAGTGTAATATGAGCTAAAACTAAAGATAAATGATGTACTTTATTTTTATACTAGACTCAAATGATGGAGGGTGACAGCCCAAGTATCTCACGAACCTTTTCCTACCTCTGAGCTTCGCATAATTGTAATGTGTATGTACAATTTCTACGTACCTTTTTCATTTTTCGTTACCTGTCACACTATGTCGATCTTTCTTTTCAAAGCACCACCATTACATTTATTATGGTTCTTTGCCATGAAATTCACCACTGTACCAATGCTCAGGTCTGAAAGGACAACAGTAATACGCGTACGCAGAATACGCGCAAGACGAAAACGAATGTATTTCGGCATATCAAAAAATTGCGTTTGGATTCACAATATACGAGCTACCAAATAGCACACAAGTTGACACCATTGTAAATAACCCTCTTAAGGTTTTCACGAGTTTGAAGCCTGCGCACGAATGTACTTGTGACTTATAAGACCTATTTCACAAGCAAAACTCTAAGGCTTCACTTACCGTTTGAAAAATATTCTGCAGATCCACGACGGATACCCCACAGTCATCTGCAAGCTGCTCAAACGGCTTACGATTCAGACTGTTGGACTCTTGCTTTAAAAATTTCGCGAAGCGATGAAAGAACGAGTGGTTTTCTAATGCAGCTGTGCCTTGGATTCCAATGACTTCAAAAGGGAGCAGTGTCATGTCAGGGTATCGAGACGCGTACTCAACTGCTAATGTTACAATCGCCCGAGTGTCATCAGGTCCAACGGTGCGTGTTAAACCCAGCTTTTGCCAAAGTCGAGAAAATCTTCGAAAAGCCAGACTGTTAGCGTATCCACTAATAAATGGGTGAGTAAGAGCTTGCTCAGACGTCAATCGATGTTCTGGATCACGTATCAACATCCGCTTTACAAAATCTCGACAATATGAAGAGAAACGATTTGGCATTGGATGCAGAGGGTCGTGACAAATGGCCTCTTCAAGTCCGAAAAAACCATCGTCAACGGTGAACGGATTACCTCCTGTTGCGAGAGAAAATAGTGTGATACCAAGCGACCAGATATCACTGACAAACGTGTAATGGGTTCCGGATATCCTCTCAGGAGCCATGTACATCATTGTGCCAGTAAAATCAGAGAAAAATGAATGGGACTTTGCCAGTGTGCCAGTCAGCCCAAAGTCAGCAATCTGTAAGATCAAATCAATTGTCAGACAACAGTAATGTATCGTCTCGAAAATTGTACCTTAAATTCTCCATGGCGATTCATCAAAATATTAGCTGGCTTGATATCGCGGTGAACAGTTCTAAATTACCATCATAGGTCAGTCCAATTGCAATTGATAAAAGATTTGGCCTACAAACTTTTGGCTGTGCATGTGATCAAGCGCTGTGACACAACAAAAGGCAGCATGTCGTAAAACTTCTTCTGGTATCGAAAGTCTTGTATCCATGAGGTCTTGCAGACTACCCATGTCCATAAACTCCATAACAACCGCAACAGCGCACTGTGCTGGTTTGAGAAACGCTCCATAGAAGGTGACAAGATACGGGCACGAAGTGAAACGAGATTGTTCGAAATGGTCGCTTCGGACTTCGTTCCGGTCGATAGTGGACAAATTGTCATGAAGTGTGTGAAGTTCTCGTTTGACCATGTGGCGATCTACTTCCCGGTACACAAGAACTTCCTTAACGGCAACCAGCTTTAATATCGGCAAATAAAGTGAAAGAAATACAGTGCCACCTGCACCTTTGCCAAGTTTCTTGACCCGTTTGGTCCATTTACCTAATTCCTTAGGTCCATCATAAGCTACTTCGCTAAACTCAGCAGCTTCCGGCGAAGACATACTCAGCGTAATACTCGAGGCGCGTCGTGAGCGGTTCAAAGGTAAACGTTGCAGAGGCGTTGACTTGAATAATGGATTAGAGTCGGTTTGGGGTTCGATATCCTGGGCCATCATCCAGGGCAGCGCCGGGTGTTCACATTTTTCAAGAGACAAGTGCAATTTCAACTTTCGCTTAGTGTTTTTATCCTTAAAAGCCTTCGTAATGTTTGTTTCACTCAAATCAACAATATTTCTGCACATTAAATTCTCTGGGACTGCATCAAACACACGCTTCTCGCGGATCTGACGAGCGTGGCGTGCGGCAAGAGCCGCTGCCCGAACACTTGCGTGAATATTGGGACTGGCAATACCATGAATTGAGCTTACACGGTCACGATTGTGGACTTCTTGCTCGGATCGGTAGCCTAGTTTATTCCGGACAGGGAACGAAGAAGCAGTTGACAACATTGTCTTTTAAATATTTGGTGACGCTGAGAACTTGGTTGCGAGCCTGGAAGCCAATAATAGAATGCTATGTTGTTGTGTTAATTTTGAACGCGACCTTGGGTGTATTCATTTCATATTATGCTAGTTTGTATAGCACGATGGTGCTGGATACTTGTGAACAAGGGCAACCATACTGTTTGTCTTTGCATCATTATGATATGGTGCTCTGAAAATAAAATTTCTATAACCCGGGTATCTCCACAGCTTTCACTTGTACTAAAGCGTGGTTCATTTTCTGGAATCTGGGCTTGATGATTCACTACCACTTAATTTGTCCATGAGCAAGTTCATTTCTTAGACATGGAGCTATTTAATTCTTGAAAATCCCTATGCTCTTCGTACAAGGCTCGAAACTAGCTCTGCGAGTGACTTCCATCAAATTTTTTGATGAAAACGTTATGGTGGATATCAATGGGTCCGTCCACTTGACCGAGTAATTCTTGAATATGAGGTGTGTAACCAACTATGACAATAATTGGTCCTTTGCGGTCCACACGATTACGGTAAATCAGACTCAGCAGATCAACGTCTTGCAATGAAGCGTTTTCAAGCATAAAACAAACTTTATTTACCAATGGCTATGAATAGTTTCATTCGATATGTAATACGTTTCATGTAATGCTTTCATATGCGCATTGTCGTATATCGCTTGAAGTAGATACAAGTAGAACTACGACATTAGTCTCAAATGATGGTGGGGCGATGCTCTGGTCTCATCAGAGTTTCTGCTTTGGAACGTGAGGAAAAGGCACACCAGCAACGCGGCTACGCCGCTCAACTTCAAGAGCAGGTAAACATTTATCAGCCTTTTCGATTCAAAAAGTGATGGGTGTTCATTAGATTCTATAAAAGCAAGCTGAATTGGAACAAGCGAAGGCACGCAGGCAGCAGGAACAACGCGAAGATCTAAAAAATTATGTGTGTTTTGGGCTGTTTCTACGAAACTACCGTCACCACTAACGCACGCTATGCGTGGAAGGAATGCGAGAGGAAAGTAGCATCTCGACAACATCAACCACATCAAGATGTAAAGGCTTCACTTCAAGCTTCTTCCCCCAAAAATTTAAATTTGGAGGCTCATCGGCCAAAAGTTGAATCACAGGAGCTCGAAGTACCAATGATATCACCGGTTGATGCCTTAAATGCCCTGCATATCGTAGTTTCTGAGAGTTTGGCAGAAGTTTCAGAGTCTACAACTACACAAAACACAACATCGATACTTGCGGCAAGTTCAGTTTCTAAAAACCACACGCCGTTGAGCCCCGCGCCATCAATATTTGAATCCTTTATTTTGGAGTTTGGCAATGGGGCCACATCAAGTGCATTTTATGAGAATTTGACAATCTTACAAAAACTTTCAACCGAGGTTTTCCACACGCTTGATGTACATTAATTTGAAACTTATTGAGACTGTTTTCTAGTTAGAAGCTGCGACAATGCTGAGGCATTTGGAGGCTCAGGTAATAATGAAATTGATTAATTAGAGCGTATAAGCTCTCAGGTGATAGTGTTGTCTTGTAGAATTGCTACGTCAAGCCAATCTTTCTTTGCCAAGAAGACTTACCGAAGGCAGCTATAACTGCTATGCAGCCTTATACGAAAACCAATGATGACGAGGTCAGTCAAACCGAAGAAGGAACAACGTCAATGTCAAGTAATATTGGATCGCACTTATATAGCTCAAAAGTGCTCTTCGGCGATAGGCTTTTCCTACATGATAAGACTACAATATCGTTACGTGGTCTTCTTCCAGACAAAACACATGACAAAAATCTTTTGGAGACTTCTGCTCAACGCGTAGAAGCTGAAGATGATGAAATAGCTGCAACTAATTGTTTAGATGCTCGCAGCGAAATGCTGCAGTTCTCATTCTGACTTTTACCAAAAAAAATTCAATGTGATGATGTAGTTATTGAGTCTGAGAAGTCAAGTTACCCAGAACACGCACAGCAGTTTTCTTCATAACGAAAGCTGGGGCAACTCCGCCCCCACAAGGGTATCTAAAAAAAGTCAGACGATGCCCTGTAAACAATTTAAGCCACAGTCAATACATCCATTAGCTCACTTACGTTAAGCCGTTCCATCGCCATTCGCCTACAATGGCCCCGCATGTTTCTCTTGGACAACGAAGTACCCCCTCTGGATGTTCAGCAGCTTGGCCGATTGTCCACGGTTGTGGATCAATAAACCAGTGGTGGCAGTCATTTAATGTCCGAAAGACTGTCAAATCTTCGTCCAGTAATGCTGTCATGTGGTCAATTGCTGTTTGAGCACTTATTTGAGAAAAATCGTTTTTTTCAATGTTTACGAGCTGCTTTAATTTTCGGTTCCACTCGATTGCATTTTGTTCAAGAAATCTTTTATGTTCCGCTGATTGACATATGTCAGCGAATTTGGCATCAGCAAACTTCGACAATCCTACAGGTTTTTGAACGTCAGCCTTTCCTGTGAGATGCTGAAATCGATGATATATTCTTTTATTTTCAGTCACAAATTTAGAAACACGTTTGGGGCTCCTAAACGAGGTGAGAGATCGCCATATTCCACTTCCTGAATTCTTCTTCGATTCTTCACCGACTTTAGCGGGGGACAGAGAGATTGAGCTTGTGCGATCGCACTGTTCATTACAAAGACGTCGATCTGGTTGCGGCAAACGGAATGGCTTGGACATATCGTTATACTTTTGCGACTTAATGAACTCGACATGAGCCGTTAGTTGGGTGAAAGGAGCACTTTTTCGCCTAATCGAAGACTTCTTTGTTACTGCACCAACAGATTTTCCCATCAGAACGCTAGGACTGTGTGGTCTCAAACGTAGCTTGGCAAGCAACGGCTTCTTTGTTATCGGTGCTGCAGCAATGTCTTCCCCCTTTCCCTTGGCATCACTGACTACCACGTTGTCTTGAATGCGAGAGATCGGCAGATCTCGCAAAGCTTCTAGAAACTTTGACTCAACCGGACAGCCGCCAGTTCGCTTTATAAATTTTGCAATGTCGTGGTGAAAGACAATGGCACCAGCACAAAACAGACTTTGACCGCACCATTCGCAACCAAACATTGTTCCCATTGACCGTAAAGCTGGAATAAAGGAGATATTATAGGTCTTTTCTGGACTCTCGCTCAAGCACCCAGAATTTACAGGTATCGAAAGACAAAACCCGCTGGGTACTCGCTCTCCAATCATACCACGCTCATCAGATCCAGAGAATAGCATTTGGATTGAAGACTGTTTCTTTAATTTTGGAGGTGTAGATAATCTTTTCAATTCACCTTGCTTTTGACGACGTGTTCTAGCTGTCTCTTCTTGAAGCTCTCCGTTCTCCTTTTTTTGCGCCAGACGAGCCAATCGAGCCTTGAGAAGAAGTTGGTTAGCAACAAATACGTTTCCTCGTGCAATCTCGAGGCATTTAAGTTGTGCATCAAACCCAGCATTTAAACTTATCACGGGACGCAAAGTTTTCACATGGTTTAAAATAAATAAGTAAGACAATTGCTGCTTCATAATCAAGTATGCCATTGCGAATGCAGGAGATCTCGACCGCCCTCCAGAGCAGTGGACGAGAACACCACCTTTTTTAAGTCCAGCACTGATAAAGACCGCAGCAATTGGGAGGCAACTCAACAAGCTTGCATACTCCTTGTCACGGATGCTTAGACTCAAGTACGTGAAATCGTCTGGAAAAGTTGCATAAGTGCCTGCGAGATTTAGCACATGCGTTATCCTGCTTGATTTGAGCGCTTCGACATTAAAAGCTGCATGAATGGAGCCCACAAACAAATTAGGTGCAATCTCCACCGGTACATTGTCTTGTACGATTGATGTCTGCAGTTGAAGTCCTGGAGCTTTTCGCATTGACATTATTCACTCAATTAATCCGCAGCAACTGTCGTTGTAAGAAGCACGTTAAGCCTTCGTCGTTCACAACAGTTGATCAAAATAGCCCCCACTTGTTGCTTTCTAGGATTGGTAAATCTTTTCCTCAGAAGCTTACGGTTAACCCTATTGTTCAATGACCTTATTTTTAAGTAGTTACACTGTACGACATTATATTATTCTAACAGATAAGATGACTCATCGTGATGTTCAAGTACGTGAGGTGGTCAACAATGCTCGTACAGCTAAATGGGGAGCAGGCATTCGAGCAGGTCGGGTCTTCACCATCCGTCTCACTGCAATTACGATATCGGTCTGAAAACTGGTCGTAGAAAATCTACACGATATTGAAGCAAAATACGAATAAGCATGCACATCATAATTTGAAAAAAACTCACCTCTCTTGTCGTGTGTTCGAATCCCAACCAAGTTGGTGGAAGATGTGGCACCACATCCCGAAAGTGCGTCACGCGATATACCTCCATATTGGCGCGACGGAGTCTTGCACTAAAATTGATGTTGCCAACACGTGGTTTTCCAAAAGTGTACAATACATTTACAGGAATCTTTTCAAGATACTCAAGCTCAAACGCGCAAACGGCCGCAACTGCTCCTCCTAATGAGTGACCTGTAACCATGACTGAGGCATGCGTATGCTCCATTTGAAGCCTGTGCAGTGCGTCCAAAACCTGTGGAGCCACAGATCGATAGGCCCAATAAAAGCCTTCGTGCACCAGCACACTTGGAAATTCTGCGTAAGCGCGTAGTTTATGAAAAGTGAGATTGTCTATCCAGTTCGTTATGTCCATGCTTCCTCGAAAAGCGATCACTACCGCGTCATAAAGTTTCGAGTAACCCACAAGACCCTGAAAATTGTCTTTTGTGTCTTCAACAACAGTCACACCTTCCATTGGCTGCACAAATGCGCATGGTTGGCAGTTCCATTGTACGATGTGTTTTGCCTGGCAGTACGAGACTGACGTCACATGCGCAAGATACTGCGCTGTGGTCTCATTGTACGTGATGGCATCAAAATTGGATGCCAGCCAAAGCGTTGAAATTTGGTCCTGCACCTGATCGAATGGAAATGAGTATTGCCACGACTTGGTAGAGTTTATGGTGATGGTAAGTGGCTGTAGTAACAGCAATGCATACATTGTGTCATGAAAGAATCTCATGTCTTTATGAAGTTGTAAAGGTGTGAGGCCCGTTGTTTTAGAAAAGAGACTATTTTTGAGTAAGTTCAATGGTAGGATAGTCTTATATAAGGGTATGGAGCTAAGCTAAGCCTCAAACTAAAAATCATCACCGATCGTACGATGAAGCTCTTCTGTCATAATTTCTTGAAGAGCCTCACTTCTCCTCGCTCGGAGTAAGGTACCTTGAGTATCAAAATTATCCCTCGAATCTGGGCCAAGCTCCAAACTACCAAAGTAAAGTTCAATGATGAAGAAGCATTATGGTACCGGTACAAATGAGGGTGATGGGATCTCAAAAAAGTGATATTGTGAGACACATGGGTTGCTAGCTTCACGCTACGCATAAAAAAGGTTTTGAACTGTTAGAGTCTGTGCGTAGTGTACGATCGTTTGTGTACTACATCACACAACACACATAGCAATTCTGTGAATTGTGTGAAACTCAGAAGTACACAAGTATTGAGTGTAATGAGGATAAATGGACTCTGAGAGGGAGAGGGTCGTGAGTCTTGTTAATTGCTAGACTCACATCGGTACTTTGTTATTCATTGTAAATCGGATATTCTTGGTATCAAACGAGGCCAAACCTAACTCTGTATAATTGTCTCGCAAAAATTAAAGTAACCAGTTACTACAGAAATTTTCTGCAACAATATTGCAATGCACATTGCACAGAGAGAGTTTTATTCTCAGAGTCTGCGTTAACAAGTGCACAAAGGTTGGATTCGCGTGGTTTTACCAGGAGCCTCTAACGTAATCAGGTGCCCTTTTCACAGGGAGCATTTATCTCTTAGGGCCCGTGCTAACGAATGTACAGAGGTTGGGTTAGTGCGGTCCTATCAGAAGCCGAACCAAAAACCATTAAGGAACTTACGCGGTTAGTGTGTTCTGGTATTCTAAAAGTTTATATATTTGGTAACAAGTCTACTCAAACAATAGACAAGTCTACTGTCTGTATATTTTGACGTGCGGATAAGGCCCACGCGTAACTTAGATCCCTCTTTTATAGAGTTTCATAAAAACGATATTCCGGTAGAGAGAACACCTTGTCATTCTCGTCGAAAATGCTTTCAAGCACATCAGACACGAAGACCGCGCTTTTGGCTGGGATGGTTCAAATATTTAATTTGGAGCGGACTTTGGGTGCAAGTACGCTCATAAACGTTGGTTCGGTAAAGTGCGGGGAGTGAAGTTGAACTCGAGGTGGAGTGGTCACTCTTATGGTGGCCACTTTTGCTTAGTGATCGAAAGCGATAAAAAATGTCAGCCCCACTCTTTTCCACATCTTAGTAAGGAAGGGTGTAACGGGGCAAATACTGTCTCTTGGGTACTCAACCCGGAAAAATGTATCTAGTGAAATAGGGTGCAATTGTACAAAATTTATGTTAAGTCCTAGCGAGACCCCTCTGCTGTCACCGGTGATGTATAGCCTAGCTGTTCTCCATAAAGGAGGCACTCACTGCACGTGTCACGATCTCGAAGCTCTTTCCGTCGGTGGGGAGTGTTTTAAAGCCCGATGTGGATAACACGACGCTGTCTAGCTTATTGATAACGACCTAGACCTGTCTCGACGAACCGAGATTGCTTTACAGTAAGCGCAAGAGTCACATATACAGTTGCCCAAATCACGACGAAATTATCGATTCAAACCATCCGAGTATGTTGCCACAATAGAGCAAAGCTCCTTCATCCCATTGTGCTTTCTGCTCACACTCGGGCGCCATCCAAAGTAACATGCTATCAGGTCCCTAATGTACTGTTTGCGCTTATGGTACCATCCATAACGATAGTACCTTGGTTACTAAAGGATGGTGAAAGTGCCGCTGCGTATATGACTTGGTGTGCAAACTGGGTGAGGAAAACACACCGTATCACTGGTCGAAGGCTTTGCTAGTTTTAGATAAACAAACGATCACCCATAGCGTCGTCTCATGGTTGACTATGAAAAATTGAAAGCACAGCCCTGACGTCCAGGCGGTAACCCATCTCTTTAAGTCTCTGCTATTAATAGCCCAGCTGGTGTCCAAGAGTTAGCAGCAACAGCTAGAGACCTAGGGTTCTCTTCATCGCAAGTAAGGTTGGCTCCTACAAGTGTGAAGCGCTGCGAAACGACCATTCCTCAAAGAATGGGCATTAACGTGCGGTGCTTCGGTTCAAGCTGTGTTCCCCTCAAGGAAGGAGCTGAAGCGTCAGCTTTTACGACTGTTCTCACCGCCTAATCAGGCATATCGCGTGCGATCACGTATCCTTGTCGCCTGACAGAGCAAGAAGGAGCTGGTGGCCATTATCCAAGAGTTAAGAGCTCTCATTGCCGGGATGGCAGCCGATCCTCTCCCCGAGGTGGTCGCAGTGATCGTCTTTATGGAGGGCCTCCGCACTGGCGTGACCAGAATGGAAGTCTTCCTTAAGCATTCGTCTTCATCTGAAGAAGCGGTTAAAAGTGGCATTGAATGCCGAATATAACTTCAAGGCGGCTTCAATGCACACCCTCATAGCTCGTGGAGTGGATCTGAGCCAACGGATCTCAGCCATGCTGAGAAAGTGGAGGTAGAGCTCCAAGCTACCGAGTAGCGTGAAATCACCCGACGGTGTTTTGTCTGTGGAGACATCCGTCACCTTCGGACTTGTTTTCCCCTGCGCAAGGCGCGTAAAGTTTCGTCGAACCGACTTCCCGCTTCTTACAAGCATGATTTGTCGCGGGAAACGAGAAAACCAAGTAGGTGTGGGGCGCCCTACTAGGGAAGAATTAAGTTCTGTATTGCCTCAAAATGGGGGATGGCAGCAGGTCCCAGCCCCGAAGAGCTCCGTGCTCCTGAACACGGAAAGTGCATGCAAGCTGCCTTCGCTGGTCGTAAAAGCGACCGTGAAGGGCTTTGAGAAGCCATGGAACATACTTATCGATTTCGGGGCGTTGGGCAATTATGCTCGACGCTCCACGATCGAAGAAAGTCGGCTGTATGCTGAGGCGCTGAAAGCGCGGTTGTTTGACATCATCACTGTTTGCTTAGCGACGGGGGCTTGCATCACTGTGCCTAGGGTCCCTGTGGACTTCGGTGTCAAGATTTTTGACCTCGATAGTGTGGAATGCTGATTAGGCTTAGACTTGGATGCAAGGTATAATTTTTTCCTTGGTATGGCATGCTTTTAACACCATGAACCATAGATTGACTAGAGGTTAAAGACCTTGGGCGCTAAACCCTCGAACTCCAAATGTGGTTTAGACTAGAGTCCCGAGCGTGTTTCGCGGGCTGAACGTGGAGTGGCACGTAACCCACTAAGCTCTGCTCAAGTATCAAAGCACTTGTTGCATGCCACGAGTGGCATGGTCGGCCAAGGGCATCGAGGACGAGGCCCCAGTGATGCACGTGGAATGTCACGTAACCCACTGAGCACTGCTCGCGTTTGCTGCATGCCGGTGGCATGGTCGGACGAGGTCCGAGGCATCTCGGTCAAGGCCTTCAGATGCACGTGAAACAGTACGTTATCCACTGGACGAAGACTTCGGAGATAGCATCTCTTCTTCGGATGTTGTTGATAACATCAAGGCTCCGATGGAGCAGGGAGTAGGAACACTAGACGACGCCGAGTGCGTATACCCACTGGTATCGATGAGACGTAAAACTTTATGGAGAGGTGACAGCGAAGTCGTCTGATATCTGCAAGAGTGTGTCTACAGTAAACGTTTGCGCACAGCCATATACTCTTGTCAACGGTATCACGGAAGAGGAAGATGGCGACATCAACCTCGAGGGTATTCCCGCGGTGGATGCTCTCCTAGCGCTGAACGAGATTTTCTTTGAAGAGTTTGGTGGTGCCTTGATGGTAGGCGATTTTGCCGAATTATTCATTATACGACTGAACGAGAAGATCAGCTCGTCGTCGCTGCTCGATGAAGCTGTCCTGAAAGACACCAAAAGGGTGCTGAACGCACGAAGTGTACCGCCGACCCTGAAGGATTTCTCGTATTCGTACTTTTCTTTTGTAAAGAAATTTGAGACGTCGTCTCCAAAAACCCGCCGTCGGTCACTCCGGACCGAGGTGTGCATAATGAGATCGACCTGGTCCCGGAGATCAAAGACTGCGTAACACGCCAATGACCCCTGCCAAAGGAGCCGTGTGATCTCATTGACGTCTTCTTCCGTGGAAATTACGACGCAGGAATGGTGCGTGAGAGCAAGTCTCCCCATTCGACACCCAAAATTTATTTCAGGGAGCCGTACGGCGAGTGGCGTATCGTTTACGCTTACAATAAGCTCAACGCTGCCATCATTCCAGCACAGACACAGATTTCTAGAAAGGATATTCTTCTGTCACGTAGGCCAGATTATGAGCTTGCTCATGTCACGACGGTGACGTTGGCAGTGATGGATCTGATCCGCGCCGCATACGCGGGTGATAGTATGTGCGAAACGCTGCTACGGGCATTCGGGAGCAAAGAGCATTGAGACTCGATCAAGAAGTTGTCGTCGCGATTGCGCGCACGGTTGAACCCGGTATACGTTGAATAACGGATTGCTGTATTATAGCACCGATTCGACGGATACGTCATTAATTATGGCTCCTCACGATGAGGATTTAAGTACCGTATCCTCTGTGAGGACCACGACACCCCACGCAGTGGATCTCTCGGTCGTGAGAAGACGTTCAGCTCTGTGAGTTGCCACTACTGGTGGCCCAAGCTGTACAAATGAAAGAGTACATATATTCGCACG